GGAGATCACCTACAAACTCTTCCTTTCTTGCCCCTCAAAGGACAGGGAAAGAGGACAATTCCTTATATAGACAAGATCACATGAGCCCTGAGGGGAGCATCCCATTGCCAGCCGAGGCTGCTTAATGCTCACCCTCAGTCAGAGCAGTAAAAAAACCTCCAGCACCATGCTGCTACTGTGAACAACCACACAAGCCCCTCTCCAGAAGACACTCATCCACCACATAGTTGCAATTCTGAAGGAGACTAGAGGACACACACTGCAAAACTCAAAGTGTGAAATGAGAGTAAAGAAGTACAAACAGCCAACTCATTAGTCAATCAAGAACATGACACAATCATAAAGCATGAACTATTTTAGTCTAATATCCCTGCTATCAACTGAAATTCCAAATCCAAACTGAGCAAAACATGATTTTCTGAGCTTTTCTCTGTCTGAGAATACTATTACAAAAGGAGAATAGAATACAGTACCTACTGTTGGCATGAGGTTTCTATTCAGTAAAATGATAAGGTCAATATCTTTTAAGCCATTAAAAAAAAACTTTTTTGTGTCCACACCAAGCAATGTCTGTACATTTACATTACAAGGCATGCAATATGTGGGTCTCCAAATAATGTGATACTATCAAATTACATTCTTAGCCATGTTTCACAGTGAGGAGCAATGCTTGAGGAACTATTATCTACCTAGATTTTTATAAGGCAAGCTTTCTATTCTAGTCTACATGATTTGTGTGTAAAAGCTATTTATTACAAACTACACAAAAACTCCAGTCTAGAAAGGTACTTTCTCACTGATCTGCTCTGCAACCACATGGTGGCACTATCAATCATTATTATCTCTTTACTCAGTACAGTGAATCCCACTATAGTATCTAACATTCCTAAAACTGTTTACTCAGGGGAAGTTTTGCTGCTTTATGCAAGGAAGGAAGGAAGGAAGAGGAGTCTACCACTGTTCTTCCACAGCACAAGTGGAGTGCATCAAACCATAAAAAACTGCACCAGACTCTTATCAATGACTCATATTCAAGCTCCACTGTGATAACATTATGAACAGGAGTTTTGTAGATTTACACATCAGTTTTCAATAATGAAGCCAAAGGCATTTTCAAGTCAGTATATGCAATGTGGGAGAAGGGATGGCCATTCAGGAAAGCATAAAGTATTTACACCTGAATTATATTACCATACTTGCTGATGAATTCACTAGCCTGAGGAGAGACTAGGAAATGTAACATTAGCCAACACACCTGAATGTGACTCTTCTGAGATCTTGTGTCAAGAAAATATACAAATCCAAAACACTTTTCAACTTTTATGATTTTTTTTTAATCTGATTTGAGCTGACAAAAGATGCAAAGAAGCACAGCCAATCCTGAGCTCCTAAATCTTTTGGGAGGGAAGAAGCATGCCAGAGGCATTCTTGTCTGCCATCTTCATGGCATAAGCTGAACATACTGAAGTATTCTCATCCACCATTTTAACCTTTGCAGCAAGTGCTTCATCGTTAAGCTAAGCATGCCCCTAAGCCTATGCATCTTCCCTTCTTGAACAACCTTAAACTACAAATGCTCAAAATTGTGCCCACCTCTAAAGAGTGTTCCTCTAAGCATATGCATAGGTCTCTTACAGAAAATTTGTGTGCTTCCTTTGTTGGAGGAGCCACCATTTTGGCAAGAACTTGTTCTCTCTTCCTGCTGTAGCTAACAGAAAACTCTCTACTCTTTTAAACAAGAAAAAAATTACTTTGACATTTATGTTTCTTTTGCTATGTAATATTGATTAACGAGAAATACAAGTTCAAAACATGACCTAAAGAAAATAGGGGCTAAAATCTTTAACAAAGCCTGGGCTACATTCTGAGAGCTTGTGTTTATGTTTTGGTTTTTTTCCTTATTTTTTTAATCAAATTAATATGTATTTTGAAATTTTTTTTTATTTTTTAACTAGTGAACTTACAACTACTTTCTTTAAATAAAAAATAAAAAGCTAGCTCTCCCCATTTTTCTAGTTACTAACTCAAAACTATATGGCTCTGTAAAAGCTTCTTACTTAGTCCATCTCCCTTAGGGCTGTGCATCCTTGATCTTTAAGTGGCAGAAGATTTAACAGCATCCTCAAAACACACTTGAACTTCACTTCCCCATTCTCAGTTACCATTATATTAGAACACATATTTACTCCTAAAAAAGTCCCTTAATTACCGTCATGTCTTCATTTTAGCAAGCATGGCATAATACTCTATACTCTAGTTGTCGGTGACTTGAAGCAAAGTTTGGGTAAAATTTATGTTCCTGTATAAGAACGTCAGCCATGCTGGGCGTTGGTGGCACACGCCTTTAATCCCAGCACTCGGGAGGCAGAACCAGGGGGATCTCTGTGAGTTCGAGACCAGCCTGGTCTACAGAGCAAGTTCCAGGACAGCCTCCAAAGCCAAGTCAGCCATCAGCATTCATCTCTGCTTTGGCACCCATCCACACATCCAAACAAGTTCATGCCAGGACCATACTTCTTGAGGTCAACCACAAAAAAAAGCCTGTGCTAAGTCTAACAAGCTATAACAATTGCTAACAATTATAAAAATTATCCTTACCTATCACTAAATTTGGTGATCATACCTCTTGAAAAAGGAAATACATAGAATGTGTATCTCAGAATGCAAAATTAAGTGAAATAACGAACACAAGAAATTTGTGTTGGGGGGGTGTGAGTGTATAATATTTTCCTCATTTTAAGTTCTTTAAAACATTAGCAATTAAAGGGGTCCATACCAGACTGGTGAAAGCCACAGAAACAGCTGACCTGAACAAGGGAGAACTCTTGGTACCCAGACTGATAGATAGCAGGGAAACCAGCAGGGGACTGATCCAGACCCCCTGAATGTAGAGTGAGGAGACTGGGGCCTCTTGTAGTGGATCAGTACTTATCCCTAGCATAGGAATGGACTTTAGGAGCCCATCCCACACAGAGGGATACTCCCTGAGCCTAGACACAAGGGGGTTGGCCTAGGCCCTATCTCAAAGAATATGGCAGACTTTGAAGAATCCCCCCCATGGAAGGCCTCACCTTCCCTGGGGAGCAGAAAGGGTATGGGATAGGTAGGGTGTTAGTTGGGGGTGGGGGGAGAGAGTCCTGGGATTGACATGTAAAATAATTTTCTAATAAAAAAAAAGGAAAAAAAAAAAACATTAGCAATTGCCGGGGATATAGATTGGTAATAGACTGTTTGCCCAGCATGCTCAATGCCAGGGCTTTAATTCCTAGTACCACACACTTCAAAAAAAGAGGCCAGGACTGAAAGATCAAGCAAGAGGATTAAGAGCTCAAGGCCTGCCTGGTCTACAGTGAGTACAGGCTTCCTCAGCAGTTTAGTGACAGCCCATCTTAAAATAAAAAGGGTTTTTTAAGAGCCAGAGATATAGCTCAATGGTAGAGAGCACTGGCCTAACATGCACAAGGCCCTGGGTATGATCAACCCCTAGTACCACAAAACAAAACAAACACTATAGTGGTTGTCTTAGATTGTGGGAAGGTGAGAGAGTCAGCCACTTTGCCTTTCTCTATCCTATAGTCCAACATGAATATGGATAATTGGCTAGATATTTTCCTTGCCTTTATCAGTCTCCCTCCAGTTTTCTCTGAATACTAAGAAGTTGAGCTATACAGATCATACCAAAAAGTCCCCTTCCAGGACCAGGTGTGATGTCCCAGCCTTTAATCCAGCACTCAGGAGGCTAAGCAGGCAGATCTCTACAGGTTTGAGTCCAGCCTGGTCTACCGAGGGAGCTCCAGGCTTGCCAAAAAGAATCTACTTGTGTATTATAGATTACAGAACTCAATGTGTTTACAGAAAGCAAGAAGAGGTGGAATATATTGCCTTACTGCTGAGAAAGGTTGAAAAAAGGAATGACTCATAAACTATTGCAGTTCAAACCATGAATAAAATGTTTCCATACTAAAACATAGAATGAAATAAAAAGATCTGGCACAAGCTAGTCTTTTTTAAAAAAAAAAAGGGGGGGGGGAATGATAAATTTCTCTTTTTAGGAGGACAGAAGGCAGGAGTTGTACCTTTTTTTTATTTTTTAAGATTACAAAGAAGAAAAAAATAAAAAAATTAAAAAAGATTACAAAGAAGTACTACATTAACTATATTACTTAAACAATAGATAAAATAATATTATAAAACCAAGTAGCACCTAGCATCACATTCTATGCATTAAAAACATTTATCTACATTTTGAACTTCTAAATTTGGGGGTTACTGATATTCATTCATTACTTCTAATTTCTTCCTTATCTTCCTTTTTTTGGGGGGTGGGGGTGGGGGCATTAAGACAGGGTCTATCTACATCGCCATGGCTGTCCTGGGAGTCTGTGTAGACAAGGTCATGAGCTCACTCACAGAGATCTGTCTGCCTCTGCCTCCTAAATGCTGTGATCAAAGGGGTGTACCATCACACCTGGTTACTTCTAATTTCAATAAATGTTTTATTTAAGATAAGTTAAATATCATTTCAATTCATCACAAAATATATTATTCCAAAATAACTTACAAAATACAGCATTCAACACAAAATTTGCTGTTTTTTGTTTGGTTGGTTTTGGTTTTTCAAGACAGGGTTTCTCTGTATTGCTTTGGAGGTTGTCTGGGAACTCGCTCTGTAGACTGGCCTCAAACTCACAGAGATCCACCTGCCTTGCTAGGATTAAGGGCGTGCGCCACCAACGCCTGGCCAAAGCCAAGAATCTAAGCACCTATCTAAGCACCTACACTGGCCACAAATCATGCGGGTCTCCTGAGACAAGAGATAGGTGTAAAAGCAATGTAACTACTGAATGAAATAAGTGTATTTAAAGGAGTAACTTTCCATGTAAAACTTGGTAAAAAATTGCAAACATAACACAAATAAATATAGAGTACTTGAGACATCACAATTACACAGCAGAATTTTAAAAGTATAATTCATATATACTTCTACTTTTTTTAATTACCTGCTTTGCAATTTCTCTTAAACAGGCTACTCCTTGTTCAAAATTAGGGAAAGCTACCGAGCCATACTTTTGGTATTCAGGGGTTGGTCTGATTTTTATTGTAGCTTCTGTTATTACACCAAGAGTTCCTGAAAAAGAAGGGAACAATCCAATGTATCATATAACAATTTTCTAAAACCATATTTAAATCTATTTAATCAACTGATTTTATTGCTTCATTCTGTTATCCATGTTAAATCTATTTAATTCTTCTATTTGGGGAATAATGGCTAATCAAGTCTTTTTAAATGAACAATTAAGCAAATTTTATAGTTTCAAAAATGATTTTAGACTTTCTTTTTTATGTACAAATATTTTAAAACATTTCAAACTTTTTCCAAGAAAGTCAGTTTTAAATGGTTTTAAAGCATAACTTATTAAAAGAAAAGAATGTACTGGCAAAGGTATATTCTGATGTGTCTATATTTACTATGAAAACATTTACTGGAGCAAAAATAAGCTAACTATCTTAAAACTTTAAGACAATTGAAGGATTCTGAGGAGCTATAGCCTTGCCTTGTCTCCTCAGACTTAATACATATAAAGACAAAGGCATTACTAAGAAGCTCTTGTTCAAGAAACAAAAGTATTCAGAAACAAAATAATTAATCACAGTATGAAGCATGAGAAAACCACCAGTAAGACACCATTTACTGCTTGGAGCAGGGAGAAATTAATCTGAAAGAAAAATAGTAAGTTAAATATAAGCATTTGTACCAAAATATTTAAAGAAATATGACTAAAAAGAAATACATTCACAAAACTAATTTTTTAAACCCGTGGTTTCAGATCTACAAATAGAAATTAATTAACACCATTAGCAAATTTTTCATGATCATTTAAAAAAGTATAAAGCGGGATGTGAATACAAAGAAGACTTAGTTACAACACTGGAAATAAAAGTCCAGGAAATGTTTGGCATCCCTGGAATGACTTAACAAGATATAGCATAGGGTTAAAGACTTGTCTGAATCCATAGACTATAAATCAGATTAATTAGATTATTATATATTCATTAGATTGTTATATATTCATATGTTGTGTCTGGTTTATTTAATTGTGAGTCTCTTATAACTTGCATGGCCACAAAATCTCTGTAAGTTTGCCCAATTAACAATTAATATAAAACAAATACAAAAATTAAAATATAACTAAAGTGACTAAATGTTTTTGTTTCCCTCTATCTTTGGGATATAATTTCAACAATAAAATTCATCCATTTAAAATCCTCAAAGCCCTCAAAACAACTTTATGGCCATTGCCATTCTCTTAGTTATCCACAATAACAAGATGCTAAGACCCCACCGTTGAAGACATAATACTCTGGTTCAAGAAAATACAGAAATCATGTTGGAACTAACTTGGAAGCTTTCTCCTGCTGGCTACCTTTTGTACTACTGGACCCTGAATGCTACAGTACCAACCTGCCAGGCAAGATGTATCCATGGATGCAATTGTGGCATGACCATTAAGGAAGCAAACAACTATTTTCTGGTTGGATCTGAAGCCTGGTCCATGGGAGTGTACTAATGCCTAGTATTGTAATGCTGGTCAAAAGCCTATGGCTGGGGAGAGCATAGACCCTGTAAGTGTGTAGAGGGGTTGGCAGGCCACTACTGTTATTTTCTTAAAGAGATATTGTCAAGCCACCTTCTAACTGTTATGTTTATACCCACAGATCAGTGCAGCTCTCAAGACCAAAAAATTCTTTGGGCATCAGGCTTCAGTCTGTGCAAAACTGGTTACAATGCTGAGAATAACAGAATATTGAGTACTCAGCTCTAAATGGGACATCTGGGTCAACCCACAAAGTTCAGGGAACATTGTGGAAAAGAAAGAGAAAGAACATAAGAACCAGAAGTTGGAGTGGAATGCTGTAACATGCTCTCATCTATCTGGACATGGTGTGGCTGCTGCATTCATGAACTCAGAGCAGCTATGGCTACTTGCACAAGATTAAGTTCATCAATAATTCCAGCATAGATGGTGCAAGTGCTCCTAAGGCTCTACCCCTGGCTGAGGAGCTATTGGTCGTTGATGGCTGATACAGGAGGGGAGTCATTTCTCTTTAGAGATGTAGCCACTGATAGATTGTCCTTAGTGCATCACATGTATGCACAATCATTACTATAAACTAAATTTAGACCATTTTAATCTCCACCCAAACTGTACGAATTAAATAGCCATGCTCCATTTCCATACCCGCACCCTAGTCAACTATTCATAAATATATCCTATCGTTATTCATATGCATATTCTGAATATTTTATATGAAAGAAATCTCATAGTATGTGGTCTTGTGGATTTTTTTCATTTGCTATGGTTTCAAGATTCACAATTTTACATTACCTATCATTATAATCAATGAACTACTGAAAACTCTGGGAGCTGAAACATCTAATAACTGCAATGAAAAGTTCACTTAAAGAACCTGCCCAACAACATATGATCTGGCAAAAACCAGAAGAACAAACTTGAAGACAGACTGACAAAGATTGTGAAACATTGTGTTATAAGAAGAATAGAGAGAAAACAAAGAAATAACTCTCAGAAGAAACATGAAAAACCACTAATTACATTATTAGATAAATAATGAAAGTGCTATGAGGGAAGGGGACAGAGCATAGGGCAGAAAACTTATTAAAAAAAATAGGTGAAAACTTCCTCCTAACAGTATCCTATATATCAAATGAATTCAATAAATTCCAAACAGGTCAACACAAAAATATTCATAAACAGAACATGAAAACAATGCTCAAAGTCAAAGACAGTAAAAAGACTTGAAAACTGTAAATGGGAGCTAATTGGTCTAGATAATAAAAACCTGGAGACATATATAGAGGAAAATGCTTACTTCTTTAGCATCTCAGCAGACAAGAGAGCGATTTCTTGTTTCTCCCTGCTTATATCCTGTTTCTGCCCAGATAACACTTCCCATCTGTCTGTACAGACCGCCACACCTCTATGGTTAGCTAGTGGCACACTCTATTCTCTGACCCTCAGACGGCTTTATTTGAACAAGCAATATATCACCACAGAAAACAACATGAATAGATGAACTACAAAGGAAATTTTACAAAATGTACAACTGACTTATCAACAGAAATGATGGAATCTAGAAAATAATGGAATAACATATCCAAAAAACACAAGGAAAAAAGCCTATCAACCATAAATCATGTATCTCACATTCTCTGATCACAAAAGTCAGCTGGCACTTTTTTGCTATAAGACCAGACACTGAATAAATTCTAAAAGTTCTCCAGTTAAAAGATGATGACCTTAAACACCAGAAATTCAAGTTAATACCAGTAAACAAAACAAATAAATTACAACAGAGTGTACCAGTTAAAGAAGTTATATAACACAAAAGAATAAAGAACAAATCCATAAGGCAACATACTATGAGACTCCTTTTATATTAAATGCCCAAAATATATAAATCAATACAGGCAGAAAATATAGATTAATTATAGAGTGTGGTTATGATCATAAAGCCCTACACAATTATAAAAGACAATGTAGATGTGTAATTCTCTCTTCTTATACACTGTTGAAAGACAATGCTATAAAACAATACCATTATAATATGCTTAATTATATAACATTATAATATGCTTAAACAATACCATTATAATATGCTTAAACCTACAGCAGCACAAAGTTGAGTAGAAACAATGGTCTATGCAGGTGGACATGACCACATATAGTAACTTGAGGCATAGGAACAAACACAGGAGAACCAGAAAGAATAAGCAACAAAAGCTCTAGGTGTACACTTGCTCTCCCTTTTTCCAGCAGCTTCATTACAAGTCATACAATTATATAAAGTGTAACTGTACTGTTGGGTTTATAATAGCTATACAGGTATAACAATAATACCATAAAAGAGAGTTTAAAATTACAGAGTTATATAGGAATGCTACTTCTGTGTTATTACATATTAGAATCAAGTTGATTCTGCTTAAGTAAGATGTAGATTTGAAGCCGTAGAGCAACCACTAAGAAACAATTAAAATAGGTATGCTGGAAATGAAAAAAGAAAATAAAATCAGAGAAAAAGTACTGACCAAAAGCAAAGGCAAGCAAAAATAAAAAATAGATGGCTTGAGTAGATGCACCTGTGGCAATGACATAATGTACTAAGCAACCAAAAGACAAGACTTTCCAAATGATTAAAATGTATTGTCACTGCCAGAGACACATTTTAAATTAAGAAATACACCTAAACTCAAGTATAACAAAGGTGTACCATGTGAGCTCAGTACTAATACCAGACAAAACAAACTTTAAATAGAATGTTACTACACAGAGAGGAACATTTTGTAATGACAAATCATTGGGAAGACACACAATTATAAAAAGATGGCACTAATAACAGGACAGGAAAATATATGAAGGAAAATTGATACAAGTGAAATGGATATGAGTACTGGAGAACTCAATACCCCACTGAGCAAAGAGAAGACTGAATAACACTTAAGTGAATTTGACCTAATAGACTAGAACATACAATTCAATAACAGTAGAATGTAAATTCATTTCAGGTACACACAAAACATTCTCCAGGATACACCACAAACTAGGCCATAAAACAAACTTAAACAGATTTCTAAAGACTGAAATAATATAAAATATGTCCCTATTATAGCTGGACATAAACTATCCCCCATGGGCTCATGTATTTGAACACCTGGTCTCTACCTGTGGAGGTGCTATTTTAGAAGGGTATGGAACCTCTAGGAGGAAGGTCCTCACTGAAAGACATGTGTCCCTGGGAGACTGGCAGTGAGAGTTATAGAATGATCCTATTCCTGCCCAAGCCTTCTACTTCTTGGTCAGTAGAGGTATCATTAAGAAGCCTCATGTCATAGCCCCAGGAATGTAAGCCAGTCCAATCATCATACCTTCCCATCTGTGGTCAATACAAATCATTCCTCACTCAAGTGGCTTTGTGCCTAGTAGTCAAACCACTAGAATAGTACCTAAGACACGAATGGGGTCTTTGCTATAAGACACTTGACCATGTAGTTCTTAGGCTTTTGGAACTGGTTTGTGAGAAGAATATAGAAGAGTCTGAAGTGGTAGTTGAAAGAAATCCTAGAATGCCATAAACAGAGATGATGGATGATTCTGGTATGAGTTTGGAAAACCATAATGCTGATAAAAATGTGGACAGTAAAGGCTGGGCTCAGGACATTTCAAAAAGAAGTAACTTCTACTAGCCTCTCTAAGTTAAGATACACTCTTCGTCAATGACTCTTTCCTAGATCCTGGCTTCCAGAGACTTCATTCTTAGAATTGCAAGGAACTGTGAATAGTCAAAAACATTTTTCTTTTTATTTAAAAAAATTATTTTTCATTTTACATACCAACCCCAGTTCCCCCTCCCTCTCCTTCTCCCATCCTCCCCACTTCCCCTCTTCCTACCCCTTCCCTGGGGAGTCAACAAAGTCTGGCATACCAAGTTAAGGAAAGACCAAGCCCCTCACCCCTGTATCAAGGATGAGCAAGATATCCCATGACAGGGAATGGGCTCAAAAAAGCTAGTTCATGTACCTGGGATAGGTCCTGGTTCCAGCCCCCATCCCAACAGATCAAGCCATATAACTGTCACCCTCTTTCAGAGTATCTAGTTTGTTCCCATGCAGGTTCCCCATAGTCCATGAGCTCCCACTAGCTCGGGTCAGCTGTCTCTGTGTTTTTTTTTTTT